TCAAAATAGAATAAATCCAGAGCACAGATCAGGGAAGGATAGAGGACTGAGCATACAACAGAAGGAAAAAGCCTCTTCCACTGACATGAATAACAGACATAAAGAGAAAAGAAAGAGATTCGTTACAAAGAGGACAAACCAAAGAAAGGCCTCAGGTAATTTCAAGTGTAACAAAGAGAAAACTCCTGAAAAGAATGAACCGGGGGGAGGGGCTGGGCTGCGTGTGCGCGCAGGGGTGGCAGCGGTGGCGTGGAGCCCCCGATGGTGCCTCTCGCCTCTCCCCTCTCCCGAGGGTGGCGGGAGCTCGGGCTGCACAGCTCTTTGAAGAAGGTGGGTTCTTCACGCTGGCCAACCTCCGGGCCTCTTGGGAAGCGGGGGTGCGGCTTCCGGGGCAGCGTTCTTGGTCCTGGGGTTCCTGGTCCGCCTGACCCACCCCCGCGCCAACCGCACGCCGTCCCAAGTTTGCCTGGTCACTGCGTTTTCCTTGGAGTCAGGACGGGCCGGCTCAACACGCCCAAAGTGGCTTGCGCTTCCTGCGAGGGGCGGCTTTTGTGTCTGCTTGGAGGAGCTGACAGGGGTCTCCGAGGCGGGCTGACTGCCGTGACTGTGGCAGCCCGGGAGTTTCGGCCGCAGGTCCCGTCACTTTGCGCGGAGAGGCAGGTTCCCGTGCCCGCCGTGTTGAAGGAACCCGTCTGAGATGTATACATTTCAGTTTCGAGTTCTGTTTCTCTGATCAGTTCAACTTCATTTTCTAGGTCTGGGAGCGTGGCAAATAACTGGATTGAAATTTACAATTTCGTCCAGCAACTCACAGAGAGATTTGTGAGGTATGTTCCCGCCTTACTTTCCGAGCAGTGGAGAGGTGGACCCAGGTGCAGAGTTTCTCTTTCGGAAACATGTAGCAAAAACCTTCCCGAGAGAGGCTGCTTCCCAGTGCCTTGAGGTCCTTACTGCCCTGTGCTGATATTAGGTGGGGCCTTCTTTGTGGGGCGCCTATTTCATCTGGATCCCAGAAACTTGACTCAGACTCGGGGGAAGCATTTTCAAATACTATTCCTAATGTCTTTTCCTTTCCTAATTTTCATCTGTGTTGAATTTCAATCATGCTTTCTCATAATTTATCACATTAAAAATAAATTATATGCTAATAGTATCCGTAATATATTTTCCTTTTCACACAGTTCTTAGCATTGTAGAGGTCCTCATTAAAAAAGAAAAAAAAGAAAGAAAGAAAAAAAGTGTTGGAAAACTTCAAATGAACATGTGTTAATAACCCACTACCAGAAAAGGCACTTGTGTGTGTTTAAAGAAATGACTTGTGTTTACATGATGTGTGGGTGTCTGGCTGGTTGAAAATTTAACTGTTCTATATATGCAATAAGCATCAGTAGGGAAGACTGGTTTCCTCTCCTATAAAAAGCATTACTGCAATGAAATCCAGCTAACTCTCTTATTTAAAGGTAACTAGGAATTAGTGGCATCTCTTATTTAAAAATAGCTCCAGGACACCAGTCTTTTGAGGCTTCTCTTTTCTTTCTTTTTTTTTTTTTTTAAAGGAAAAAAAAAAAAGATGTATTGAGCAAACAAGTTTATCAAGATAATGGAAGGACACGAATAGGAACTGTATCATTAAATATTGCTTCTTTCAGTCTTGTTAGCCCAAATGTTTTCCATAAAACAGGCTTGGATGATCAAAACATTTTGAAAGTCATGTTGCAAGTAACTTCAAACAATCTGTAGAGGCCTAGGCAATCCTTGCTTTCTGTTATTGGCAGCAGTAAAGTTATCCCTATAAAAATGTATGCCTGTCCATGTTCAATCGTCAGTCCCTTGCTTAAGAAGCCAAGCATGACATACATTTCTGGACAGGATCTGAGGTAAAACTGTCTAGAAAGGAAAAACAAACAAAACCCTACATCCTTAAATGTCAAAGGCAGAAAGACAGTTGTTTGTAAATTTCCTGTTTTAATCCTAGTGTGTGCAGAGTGTCACCTTAATTTTGATCAAAAGCAATGGATGATTTCAACCCAACATTTTAAAGAAGTGGACTCTCACCTTATTCATTGTTCTAGTTTTCAAGTTGGAATTCCCTAACACACAGTTTACTGGCTCAAGCTTAGTTGCTCAGTTACTAACAATACATTGTAAGAAGTGAATAAGAGGTGATTAATGAGGAGAATGGTGTTCAAATATGTAAAAGCCTCCACGATCGTTCTGATCTTCAGTTGACAGATTCCAGTTTTATATCTTCAGTTTTGGACCTTAGAAATTGTTGAGTAGAGTGTCCCAGAAACAAGAGCCATTCCATGAATACATGCCTAATACTTGACAGCTGTAGCTGACTTGGCCAATTATTGCTGACTGGAAGTAGGATGTTTGAGTCTCAGGAAATAAAAGAGAGAAGCCGCATCAAAAAGTGACCTGTTAGCTCCTTCTTATTCTCCATGGTGTTCTTTAAGTCATTTTGCTTCAGGATGACTTTTGAATGGATTTGTGTAAAGTCGTAGTCATTAAGTCACACCAGCTACTTCAGCCCCAAGTATGGATAATGATAATCACTGGGAAGGGTCAGCTTTCATCAAGGAGATGAGGTAGAACACCAAAGGAAGAAGCATTTTCCATGAAAGAATTTTGATCAGCCTAGAATTTATCTTTCCTGTTAGTCTCTTTCTAAATGCAAGTCCTTATGGGTCGTGGAGGAGCATTTGGGTGCTGAGAAGCATTGACTGAATCCAAAATGACTTACACAGTCACATTAAGCAGAGTTAGTCTACATATTTCGGGAACTCCATTGAATTGTAACCTGGACCATTCAGTGAGACCAATTTTAAGTGAAACTCCCTGGCTGTACATCTGTACTGTCTCAATATTTCTTTTAAAAATGTTTTGACTGCCTCTTTTCTTATTTTACAGCCCTGAAATGAGATTATCTTTCATTGTGTTTTCTTCTCAAGCAACCATTATTTTGCCATTAACTGGAGACAGGTTAGTGCATTATAATTTTTCTGCAGGCTTTCAGTAGAGAAGACTCTCAGAGGCATGATTGATATTTCCATGTGGTGACTCTGACCTCAGTGGAATCAAGCAGATGCCCAGACAACTCAGTTATCTAATAGAGGGGAAAGGAGGTAGGAGAAACATCAGTGAGCAGATGATCCAAAAATCATATCATTCATATCAGCTGTGGAATGCTGTGACATCCAGATCCCTGTCTCAGTTGTGTGTTCAGTACCTCCCCACCTTTCCTCTTTCCTTCCTCTCTGTTACTGTAAGTAGTTCCTTTTTTTTTATTTTTTTGAGTTGGAGTCTCACTGTGTTGTCCCGGCTGGGTTCCGGCAATCCTTCTGCCTCAGCCTCCCAAGTAGCCAGAACTACAGGCACGTGCTACCATGCCCAGCTAATTTTTGATTTATTGTAAGACAAGTCTCACCAAGTTGCCTGGGCTGGTGTCGAACCTATGGGCTCAGGCAATCTACTCACCTCAGCCTCCCAAAGTGCTGGGATTACAGACTGAGCCACTGAGCCCGATCTACTGCAAGTAGTTCTACATGTTTTTGTTTAGATGTAATATATTAATCAAGCAGGGATTTGAAGAACATTGAAAGGGAGAAAGATATGGATTTATTTGGATAATTTACCAGATTCAGCAGACATCCTGGATTTCTAGTCTTTCATTGAGGTCCACTGATGCTGAATATTTTCACTTTTTATTTTTTATTTTTTGAGTTGGGGTTTCACTCTGTCACCCAGGCTGGAGTGCATGATCACAATGATCGCAATGATCAGGGCTCACAGCAGCCTTGACCTCCTGGGCTCAAGCAATCCTTCTGCCTTAGCCTCAGGGGTAGCTTGGACTACAGGCATGTGTCACCATGCCCAGTTAATTTTTAAAATTTTTTTGTAGACAAAGTTTTTCCTATGTTGCTCAGGCTGGTCTCGAACTCTTGGGCTCAAGCAATCTACCCACTTTGGTCTCCCAAAGTGTTGGGATTACAGGCGTGAGCCACTGTGCCTGGCCTATATTCACTTTTATAAAGGTACTTGATATATATATTAATATCTATAATATCTCTCTATCTGTCTACCTACCTCTCTATATCTCCTTAGTGCTTTTAAAAGGTATGACTTTTTCCAAGCAAGTGTCACAGTCATTGAACATTTCTATGTCATTTGAATATACCATGACAAGCTAGAAGTCATCATTGACGTTTTGTAAAGAATGAGATTTATATTGGGAAGGGAGATTTTCTTCACTTTTATATATACTTCAGTTAATACAAAGTATATAAGCTAGTTCTTGCTCAATAAATTCTTGTTGAATGAATAAATGACTTAGCATTATTTTGAAATCAAATTTCTTCAAGCTGTAGTTTTAGCAAGGGAGGCTGGTATGCTTTGTTTTGCATGATATGTGTATTTCTGAAACCTTAAGTGTTAATATAGTTTTTTGTAAATTATTTTTTCACTGGAAAATGTCAGGAAAGCATAATGTTTAGGAAGGCACTCAAAGAGAGCTTTTGTTTTTAATTCACTAAATTGGTATCAAAAATTGTACAGATAGGCATCTAGTTTCTTTGTGCTTTTAGTTTTCCTTTTTCTGGAGAGGAACCCTCTCTATAGGTGCTGAGTCCAGCCTAAACCGTGTCTTGTCAATGGTGCTTCTCCTTCTTGCTTTCCTGAGTGTAGGTGGATCTCCATCAGGGCCAAAGCAGTGGTGGTCCACAGCCCAGGCACAACAGCTTTCTGTGACCAGTGATATGAAGTTCTTGCCCTTATGAAAATAAATTTTTTCCACTGGCCAGCTTAATTTCCAAAGAAACAGCTTTGGATTTAGCTTATCCAAAAAATAAAAAAGAATAATTTTAACATTTATGGCATATATACATATAGAAAAGAGCTCCGTGTAATGCCAGGCACATGAAAATTCAGTCATTGACAGCTGCAGATGTTGTGCCAGATTCTCTGTGAGGCACTTCGCATGAGGGTCTTCAGCACATTGGAGATGAAGGCCAGCCGCTGCGTGACCAGATTGTTGTTGCTTAGACATGCACGGAAGGGGTTTGAATCTTGAAGTTAAGAATCTTCCTTTGCCATCGGTTGACTCTAACAAGGGAGAAACTGAGACAGGTTGGAGAAGAACTTTTCTTTCAAGAAGCAGAATCGTGTTGCAGCTAGGAGTCAGTGGACCACGTCCACATGAGGTTAAGTCCTGGCTCTCTAATTTACCAACCAAATGGTCAAAGACAATTTGCTTAGCCTCTTTATGGCTCAGTGTTTTTCCACCTATATCATAATGACAACAATGATGATGATGAGGTCATACCTGCTGCATAAAGTTGTTGTAGGAATTGATGTAGATTAATGTAGAGTGTTTCAGGAGGAATTTAAATAATGCCACTTGCAACTTATTTCTCACATAGGTGGCTCTTCTGTCTGTTTCTAAGTAGAAATGCTTTGGTTTTAATTTCACTATTTGTGGCATGTTTAATTCGTTTGGGGTGGCAGAAAATACACTGAGAAGGCCTGGGTTAGAGTTCTGGTTTTGACACTTACTGATTTGGAAACTTGGGGCAAATCACCTACTTGCATGGCAGCTTTTATGTCTATAAAGTGCAGACACAACATCTGCCATGTTTTCTTAGAAAGTTTTTGTGAAGCTCAATATAACACATAGAAAGGTACTTTGTATATCATAGAACATCCTTTAATAAAGAAACTTTTTCTCTTATATTGTGCTTTTGCTAATTTTATTTCATTAAATCAGTAACTTCTCAAGTTTTTGTGGTCTTCTGTATTGGGATATAGGTAACTGTTTTACATAACACACTTTTAAGTGTGAAGAAACAATTTGCATATTTAGATGCAAGACCACCAAAGAAATGTTTTCACAACTATTGTAGATCTTTGTATCAAAGCCTGGAAATGGGACTTCTGCATATGAACTTTCTTGATGTCCTATAGCACATTTGCAAATAGATCTCAGTGCATGAGAATAGCAAAGGTTAAGTAAAGAAAACCAAAGGCTAAACAGCACAGTTTTCGCAATTGGGTTCTATTACTCATCAGTCTTCAGCACCGAGGTAAATAGGAGAAGTAGCTCTTTCATGTTTGTGAGAGTGTTGCTAAAGATTTTCAGCAGAGATGAGGCAAGATGGAAGGCAGTAAGTAAGTGCTTATGGTAGGGCTGCATGTTCTGCTACTGTTTCAGCATGGTGTTTGGTACTATGTAATGAATGAATGAAGTAATGAGCTGCCGATAAGTGATCAGCTTATACATTTTATAAACTCATTGTTTAAAAATCTTATTCTTTTAAATATTTCAACTTGAAGCACTCCCTTCTTTTTTCTTGCTTTCATGACTTTTGCCTTCTATATGTCTGTTAGTCCATCCACCCATCCACCCACCTACCCATCCATCTACCTGCCTACCTTATATCCAATGTACTTAGCACTCTGGGGCCCTGGGGATAACACAAGTATAAATAGCTGTGTGTGTGTATGTGTGTGTGTATTTGTGTGAGACAGAGAGAGTAGGGGGAATACACATATACGTAAATAGCCGAAGGTTGTGTTATAGGGTCAGGAAAGAGGAAAGTTCCGAGTGTGATTGACTGTGGAAATACTCAGCCTTTCCATATTAGAGAATTTGGAATCAAGACTAATTTTAAGGGATACTTTTAGTTATTATATTGCATAATTAGGGCTAGTGAATTATGCTCACTTCTGTTAAATGTTATCTTTTATTTATTTATTTATTTAGAGACAGAATCTTGCTCTGTCATATAGGTTGGAGTGCAGAGGTATAGTCATAACTCATAGCTCACTGCAGCCTGAACTTCTAGGCTCAAGCGATCCTCTGGCCTCAGCCTTCCAAG